GAGACATATATTTAGAGCATATATTATTAAATTAAATTACCTATGAATATAATTTATTTAAAAAAAATCAATATATATATATAAGTATGCCTTATACCTACTGCATTAAAAAAATGCATATATATCTAATAATTGAAGCTTATTGTATACAATTAAATAAAAATCGATCTTTAAAAATTCATTACATTTTCATATGACTCTAGAAAATAATGAAGTAGGTATATACCATACTTATTATGTATCGAGAGTCATGCCCAAGTTGTAAAACATCATAAATAATGATTATCATAATATTATTGTATAACAAGCGGCAGGGCTTATTCTCCCTCCAAACGGAATTTAAATGTCATAGCATACTTTTTCATCGAGTATAAAATTAAAATTCATTAAAAGCAAACATAAAAATAATTAATGGGCCTTTAGAGGGTGAAAATGGCATAAATATTTTTATCTTGTATAATGCCTCAAATACCTACTTGCACTTTATTTTATAATCGATTGCAGGTTTTTATGACTCTTGTATTATAACCTTTATTGCATATTATACTGAAAAAACACATTTTTAATAATATATAGATATATATGTGTACATAACATCTATATTATATACCTATTATTAAATATGATTCTATTGTAAATATAGATAGATTTTAAATACTTAATAAGTATTAGAATATGAAATATTGTATTGTACATAATATAACCGWTAAAATACTTTATTCCTTAAGTTTAATGTTTGAATGGCACACGTTAAACATTTTGTGTTAGGTACTTATATATATATTATTAAGTTTAATTATGCAGTGTTACCAGCTACCTATACCTATCTACGTATTGATCTAATTTATTTATTTTAGCATATTATTATTTTAGTTATAAGCAATAAATATTATTTATAATCACTTAAAGTAATACACTATACCTACATGAAAAAATAACTTAATAATTTAAACAACAATAATATCCCATTATTACACGTTATAAAGCTAGATATGCTAAGGTATTGTAGCGGTTCATAAACTGTGGTCCACGGTCTCCTGGAGATTTAATGGCGGCTCTAACTAAAAATTAAATATTTTATGAAAAATAATGTCTAATAAAAWTTTTCTAATAATCTGAAGATTGCAGTGGTCTCAAAATGTTTACTWTATTATACTTTATACCGGCTATAATATTTACAGTGTAAGAAGCACATCACAAGTATAGGTACTATTGTTTGGACCGAGTAGTTTTTTTTTATCGGCAGTATTAAAAAAAAATCATTTCCTCTCTTCTACCACAGACTTTTCCCGTGATTTCGCTCGGGTATTGAATAAAGTGGGTAATATTTTTCCATATATAGTTTATTTATTTGCTTCCCCACCGCCACTCATCCTCCGACGACTGCTCCGGGCAATAAAAACCAACCACCATAGTATTTTTATTTTTTTATTTTAGTCAGTTAAGAATTGAGAACACGTAACCGCTGCTACCGCTTTTGGGGTTATAATGGTGTGGGATGTGGTGGAAGGGTGGAAGTACCCAAAAGGCAGTTTGTTCTCATTAAACTTTCTCTCCTCCCGTGCCCCTTCCATTCTAAGTTTCAAAAACAGTTTATGCTCATGTTCTCCTTCTCTATCTTCCCGTTTCTCTCACCCTCTCTCTCTTTTTATATAAAACTCACACACAGATAAATATATACATTATACATGTATATATATATATATATGCTTTAGCTTGCATGAAATTGCTTTTTTCTGTCCTCTACCCCCTCCAGCTGTATAAATATTATATACGTGCAGCCTGTACACATATTTTTATTTATTGCCCCGTTTACACGAGAGGTCTATACTGAAAAAACTGTGATTCCATCCACTTTCAACTTATCACGGATAAACCTCGACTCAAATCTAAATAAATGACGAAATAAAACGGATATTTATGTGCACAAAGGTGTTTATATTATTGTGAAATGAGGAGATCAGCTTACGTGTAGTGCACATAAAACTTATGTCCCAAAGTGCAGGATGAACAATGACTCTCAAAAATCGTTTTACTCTTAACTTCATAGTAGGTATTTACAACAATGTTAATTTAGTGTTCGCACTATCATAATATATATTATATATTTATCTACATAAAAATTAAAAATAGGCACAATTTGAAATTTGAGATAAAATATCACCATTCACTAATACAAATATTATAAATAGCTACCTACTCTGGTTTATCGGTTTTATTGTATATAAATAACCTATAAATACATTAAATAATAATATAATATATGATCAAAGGAAAAATATTATGATAGTCGTTATAGGTACCTATATAATACGTATATATAATATTAGTATAAAATAATATGTAGGTATCATCAAGAAAATTAATACCTTGGTAAAGGTTATTATAATACGATAAAAAAAATATGAATTTCAGTATCATAAATTCTATAATCTATACCTAGCTAGGTACACGCACGAGTTCTAAATAATAACAATATACCTAGCTTATTATTCATTCTTGTATCATGGTATAAATTCGAGAAAATATAATAGATTTCTATTATCAAAATATCGTATTTTATAAGATATATATTTTATATATACTTTACTTATATATATATATATATATATAGTTATCACTTACCTGCATAATATTATAATGAAGTCGATAAAAAAATTAAATAAATAAGACTACGAGCACGGGGAAGAATATATAAAAAGCTCGTATTTTATATTAAGCATTAACACGACCAGTAACTTTCCAGACCGGAAAATTAACAACAAACTAAGCTCAAAAAAGAACACCGCGGCTAGATTTGGTGCGCGCGTGCACGAAAATAAAAAATTATATTATATACAAATCAACTCACCCGAGTAAAACTTAAAAAAAAACTTTTACATTCTTATCATATTTCTYTCACGTCCATTAATTCTACATAATTGTATCTTATAATCATAACATTAGTGTACACATCTAATAAATAAAGCGATGTAGGTATACATAATACTTTTTGAAGTTAATATATTACATATAAGCCTAATATTTGTATATAATATAAT